CTTAAAGCGAACAGAAGACTGGTCATTCAAACTGAGTTCTCTTTGAACCCAGAGCCCATCCTGGGAGCTGAATATCTCCTGTTGCTACACATTTTGTCTGAAGAAGCCAAGTCCTTTACATTTTTGTAGGGCCCAGCAAGACAAAAATCAGTGTAGATTCCGCGGCTACGTATCAAGTGCCTACCATGGGCCAGATATGTCACATTCTCTCTAATCTATTTTTAACTGAAGGGCCCTTGTCTCTTCTCTGCAGATGGGGAAACAAAGGTGCCAGATCCTTAAATAATTAACTTTAAGTAGCGAGAGCATCATGATGGACCAGACCAGTTGGGCACAGACCGTGGGAAAGGCACTATGCTGACTGCTTTACATGTTTAATTCTCATAAAGTGCATGACTAGGTAACATTTATCCTCAGTTACACAGATGAGGAAACTGAGATGCAGGGAGGTGAGGTTACTCGCCCAAGGCCACCCAGCGAGTGGAGTCAGAATTTGAACTGAGGCAGCCTGGGTGCATACCCTGCCCTTCACCAGCCGTGTTATACCCACACGCCATCTGCACGCACAGAATGAAGGCTCAGTCATGCTCTTCCTGTTCCCTACCTTCCTTCTGCCCCACGGTACCTCCAACCGTCTGGCATCCGGTTGACATCAGAAAGCCCATTGGGGAAGTCTCTGAAAGATGAGACAGAGGGCCGAAGACCAGGACCACAGGCTTTATTAGAGGAGAAGGACCCTGCCACGCTGCCTTGCAAAGGAAGAGAGCACACGTGCAGGGGTGAACACGCCTTTTGAGGGGAGGAAAAGGAAGGGACGGGGCTTCGGGCACTCAGCACACGCTGATTGGTGGTTTCATGTAAGGCACATGATTAGGGACCTAGGGACTTAGGAATTGGGGGCCTAGGGTATTTGGCAGGTGCTGGTTGATGGTATAATGTACAGTCCATGTAAGGTGCCTGGTTAGGTGCTCAGGAATGTCTAGGCCGCAGGTGCAGTTTACGTCATACTCCGTCCATCAGTTGGGGGAAGGGAGGATCTATCAGTCTCTTCCCTGACCCAGATCTGAGAAGGCAGTGCGTGACCATAGGCCAGACCCATGTGATTTCCATAAGGTTTTCCTCTCTTTGCCCTTGGATGCCCCCTCCTCCCTTTTTTGGTCTTGATGACTGTTCCTTAAGCAGCATCTCTCTCTCCTTCCAAAATGTCCAGCAGCCTCCAGGCTGGTGGCCCATCAGGGACAGAAGGACACACAGAAGCAGGCTTCCCACTTGATGGCCACCAGTGAGGGAGTCTGGGGAAGCGTGGCTGGGTGGGGCCAGGATTGCAGCGGCCCTCGGTGATTTCACTCTTAAATGGATTTCAGAGGCACTGGCCGCCCTGCTCCTCTCCAAACAGTGCGGTTAAGCTGTCTCAGCTTAGCCAGAGGCTGGGCTCCTGCCGAAGTGTGAGGCACTGTGAGGCGGCTTCTGGAAATCATGCTCGCAGTTAGCTAAACGGAACCACGCTGCTTCATTAATGGGAGCAAGCTCCAGAGAGAAACTGAATAAAAACAAGGCAAGTTTGCTTTCCACCCCTAATTCAGAAAGCCAGATAATTAAGTAGGCGGAGAAAGGAAGTGTCCCTTCTGATTCCAAGAGCTTTCTCTCTTCTTTCCATATTTTTCTTTATTAGGTGGTGGTGGAGTGTGTGCGTGTGGGGGTGTTGTAAGGGAAGTCCTAACAAAAAATGATTGCCCTGAACCCTTTGAATAAGCCATTTGTGTCACATGGAGACCATAATAGTAACTAATTGTTTTCAGTTGTGCTCCACTTCTCCATCCCCTCCACTCAGTTCCCGCCAAAGGGCTCTCAGCAACTCCAGATCTCACCCCCTGCTGACTCACCCCCACCTCTCACTTTGTATTTCACCTCAAGGGGAGGGGGGGTCATCAGCATGAACTCCAACCACCCCAGGCATCTTCCACCTGCAAATGCACCTGGGAGCACTTCCCTCCTCCCCTGGGGGTGGGCTAGGGGTGGAGAGGGACCTCCTCACCTGCACAGACATTGCTCTGTGGTGCCCTGGACCCTCTGTGGCTTCGCCTGTCAGTTGCCCTGACGCTGCATGCTCCTTCTTTCCAGTGGAGAACGTGTCCACATCTCTGGCATTCTACGGAGTCTCCCCTCCACCTGCCTCTCAGGCTACCATCCCCCAGCCGTGCCTGCTTGTTTCCACATCTTGACAGTCCTCTTACCCCACTTGTCACAGCCACATGTCTCCACCGCCATCAGGGCCAATTCTGGCTTCTGCTCCCCTTCCCCTCTCCCCTTCCACTGTGCAGCTGGTCACCATTGACGCCCAATCTTAAGACCCAGTGGTCCTCTCTGTCCCCTTTCCTATTCACGGGGCAAGAGAGGAGGAGGGTGGTGTTCAATTCTCTACATTTCTTCAGAGAGAGAGCCTAGAGTTTCAAAGACATTTTTCATCTACCAAACTGCATATTTTTACTTAGATATTTAAAAAAGCAATCTCAAGCTCGGGAAGAAAATGTAGCATCGATGCCAAAGCAGATCACTAACACTTGGTATCAACAGGAATATATTTGAATTTAAAAGGCTAGCTGCATCTGACAGCAGTCTCAGCTGCAGCAAGTCGGAGCAGGAGCAGGAGCAGGAGGAGCAGGAGCAGGCGCGGGGGGTGGGAAGAGGAGTCCTCAGTAAACCTTTATGAATACAGGGCACAGGTGATAAGCGGGGTGACAGCTCCCATCATGTGACATGTAGGAAGTCATGGAAGGCTTCATATCAAAACTTCTATTTGGTTCCTGGCCGGTAGCTTAGTGCGTCAGCCTGTGATCTGAAGGGTCATGGGTTCAATTCCCAGTCAAGGGTACATACTTGGGTGGCTGGCTCCCCAGCCCTGGTGGAAGCGCAGAGGGGAGGCAACCAATCATGTGTCTCTTGTTGATGTCTCTCTCTTCCCCTCCTTCCTCCCTTCCACTCTATGGAAATCAATAGGGAAAAAATATCCTGAGGTGAAGATTAAAGAAAGTTATATTTAGGCTGAATCTTAAAGGGGACCTAACTTCTGGTGAAGAGAAGTGGTTTCACACTGAGGCAGAGGGAAAAGCACGCGCAGAGCAGGGCATTTGGAAAGGAACATTTTCAGATGAGTACCATACTTCGAAGTGTCTACAGTCTCCTGGGATCCAGTCCCCATCACTCTCTTGGCCTGAAATACAGATAGCTGCAGGGAAAGGACTGTATCTTAGCGTAATGTTTGTTAAGCTAAGGGCTGAAGGCTCACCCAATTTCTCACATTTCTCCCAAAATCAAAGGTGTGCTTTTAGACAGACAGAGGAAAGGCATTCACAGTCAAGGTTATCTTCCCCCAGGGTTGTCAGCATCACACCGAGGTGGGGGCAACACCTCACAACAGGAAGCTCAGGGCCCAGCAAACTCATGCCTTCATGGGAGTCATTTCTCCCAGGGTGCATCTCTGCCCTCACTAGCTACGGGAAGACAGGTGTTGCGTCTTATTTGTTACAGTGGAGAGCAGCAACTAGTTGCTCCAAAATGCTGGTTAAGTGCATGGGTAATGGGACCAGCATCCTGTGCTTTCTAAAGAATAGGGTTTCTATCTCCCCTCCTGTTTCCACAGTGTAAGTTCCTGACCGTGGTGGAGGTTGTCAGTTCATGTTCTTCCTGGGCTCACAGGTAGACAAGACCACCTTTCTCATGGGCAGGGGGCTGTGGGACCAGGTCTAGCCCATGAAGCAAGACAGGAAGTGATGGGTGCCGCTTCCTGGATGAGGTCTTTGAGTGGTAGACCACCTGCAAGCTCTCAGCAATGACCCTGGGACTCACTAGTTGAGATGGGAGCATCTTTGGATATAGATGGAGGAGTTTGGATCCCTGAATTGCCAGATGAAAGGGAGCCCCCCCACTGACAATATGTAAGAATTAAATGAACCTCTCTTGTGCTAAGGTTTTGCTTTGCTGCAGCCTACCTTGACTAATATATACATCTCACTTTCTCTCTATAAGACAGAGAGAATATGGATTACACAGAACTCAATAAAAACATGGCTCACTATTTGATGGAGGTAATGAGAATAGGTATGCATTCCAACAGACAAGTCCATTGTCAACTTTACTTCTTTAGAAAAATATACAGAAGAAACTTCTCCACCCACAGTTCCAGAAAAGGCGGAGTATCCCTTGACCAGTTGCTAAGTTAATAAAATTATGCTGCTTAGTTGGTCACTTTTTGCCTTGCTAACCAGGAAGCTCAGAGCCAAATATAACCTCGTGGAATGTGTTTTGCCAATTCTTTTATCAATCACTTTGCTCCTCAATCATTTCCCTGGCATCCCGATTTATCTCTTTTCTCTCATTGTGTTTTATATGCTCTTATAAGTAAAACTTTCTTTTGTGAAGGGAAGATGATGATGATGAAGGGTGAGAACCAAACTTTTGGATGAACTCAAAACAAGGAATCCATGAGCCATTGTCTCCTAACACTGAAGGCCTGTGACAGGGTAAGTCAGCTCTGAGTCAAACGATTGTTGTTGTTGATGTTGACTTTTCTTCTGGGTTTCATGACTTAATTTTTCCTTTGCTTTCTATCAGCATAGCTCACAGAGTTAATGAGGATAATTGCTGGTGCGGGATGCACAGTGAGAGAGTTTGTGGCAGTGGGTGTAACTTGCTGTTGGTTTAAAATAGCTATGCTCATGGATTCAGGGTCCCCATTAATCACTGGCACTTCCTCCTTCTGAACTGTCACACACACTGATTCACAATTTTGATGGAAAACATTCCCTCCATAACATTCCCCAGCTGATGATACATTACCAAATGCAAAAATAGGAACATTTTAAAATCTCAGCTCACACCTCACATTACTTTTTACCTTTGCTTTCCAGACCTGTGTAGATTTAGTAGCAATGCAACATCCTTTCTACATTTTCTGCCATTATATTTATCAATGATCTACAACAGATGCACATAGACACATGTGAAAAAAATTCTTTATTAATTTCTCACATTTTATTACAAAATGTATGTTGCAAACAACTTGAATAACCTACTTGTGTGTTTTTGTGTTTTGTTTTGTTTTTAAACCCTTGGCTTCAAGAACTCAGGATCTCCCTATCTTTTCATCAAGTATTGGGAAACACTGATTATTGGAGTCAATAGGTTCTCATTTTGCTATTTACTTTCTTCTCTCAAACTCTGAAAAAAAAAATGTCCTCTGTATAAATTAAACAAAAAAATGTTGTAAAGTCTATGTCATTACAGTCAACAGAATTATAATAATGCATCCAAAATGTGCGGCCACAAAATATCAGGTATATGTTTGAAAAAAAGAAAAAAAATGACATTCTAGCCTTGTTACAAGGATAATGGTCCCATATTTTTATTAACAGGTTAGCAAAACAAAATCCAATGGATTACAATATTTACATGTTATTTGAAAAATAAAGTAGTGATAAAAGCATGTCACAATTATTTTCTTTCTTTTTTTTTTCTTTTTTTTTCCTTTTTCTCTCTTTGCCTTTTTTTCTTTGTTTGTTTTTTGGTAACCATTACAAATACCCAATCCATCCAGGTATGGAACTGTTTTAATGCATTTGAAATGAGGACAATTAAAAACAAATATGGACACGAAACAAAATCTCTGCTTAGATAGTTCACACTTTTCCCATTTTCTGGTTTCCACATGATGGCCCTCATCCCTAAAAAAAAAAAAAAAAATGCCCTACAAAAAAAAAAAATCTTAATAGCAAGAAAATAAAGAACATGCTTTTCAAGTAAGCACTTATTCCACAAATGCAGTATCTTTCCATGGATTTTATTTGAAGCTATGTGGGACACTGTCATCTCCGCAATTCCCTTCCCTTTCTTCCCTCCCCCTCCCCCAACCCTTCCAAGTAAAAAAACAAAACAAAAACAAAAAACATGAAAACCAAAGGACTCACACACACACACTCCTCTCTCTCACACCCACACACACACGCACGAGAACATAGACATCCAAGCACGCAAGCTCACAGGCTTCTAAAACCTAGGCTTCAAGGAAAGTTCTTTTCTACTTTTTGTAACAAAAACTCTCTGTTCACAATCAGAACATATTATAAATGTAGACTTAGATTTAGTCTATGCTGCTCCCTCCTGAAAAAGCTAAGACGGGGAAACGGAGCAGCTGGCAGCTAGATTTAAACAAACAACAAAAAAGTAGTTCTCCAGGTTCCTTGTAGGATGCAAGTATTTCTTGTCCATTCTCACCAAAGGGATGGGGTTCCCTTATCCCGCAAATTAAATGAGAACCCCTACCCCCCAAATAAAAACACAACACATTGCAAACAAAAGCAAAACAGATTTGAAATCACGCACAAAAGCCAGCCCATCCTAACAGGAAGTACTTGTGTGAGACGGATAATGTGATAGTTTGACAAGCAACAAAAGGGTGAAGAGGACTTCCTCGTCTGGCCCACAAGCTGCATAGCTGTGCCAAAAGTTTGGTTCTTTAAATTAAAAAAAAAAAAAAAAAAGTTCTTTGTTATTTCCATGTTTAAAATAAAAACATTCCTATTCACACACACACACACACAAAAAAACCCCCTAAATCTCCCTTGCCCCAAATTAAAACAATATCAACACACACACACACACACACACACACAAAGAAAAACAATTTATATGAAAAACTGAATTGTGCTGTGTTTGTAACACTCAAGCTGATAGAAAAATGAACATGTGGCAAACGGAACTCCACAGTCACTGTAAAATTAGCTTGTATGAATCTACCAAAGTCTTAAATCATAGCTGAACACTAATAAACAGCTTACCTGGGATAAAGGATGACAATTCACAAACAGTTATCTAATAATTAAAGTCTGTTTCTTTTTTTTGTTTTGTTTTTTACTAAAATAATTAAAAAAATCACAGTATTTTAAGAAATAAAACCCACATGGGGATTTTAAGCACAATTTGTGTTCCTTTCTTTAAAACTCTTTTTTTTTTTTTCTTTTTCTTTCTCCATTCACCATCTTGCCCAGCAGTTCTCTCTACATTTAACCACGGCGACGACAGGTAGTACTGACAAATGCAGAGAATTCCCTTGGTTAAGTTTGAGGTACTAGGAAACAGGTGACTGTTTTTAGGCAAAGCAGTTTTTTTGTTTTCTGTTTTGTTTTTGTTTGTTTGTTTGTTTTTTCCCAAAGCGGCAGTTAGGTCTTGAAAAAAGCTTAAGGTATGAAAACTAGAAAAACGCACGGAAAGTTGTGCGTCAGAAAAATGTTGTTCCCCTAAGAAGTCTTCTATCGCCTCGGAGCTTGTTTCCACGCACTGTCCGAGCCGCCGCAAGGCACGCCGTGCCCGGGAGGCCCTGCGCGTCCCGCAAGCCAGCGGCACTTCCACGCTGAAGATCCGGGAGGGAAGGTGTAGTGATGGAAAAGGAGCCACATATTCCAACCATTTAAATAACTTTAATTTACATACTCACTCACACAGGTACCAGTGCTTTGAAAATAGATTGTTCAGTCCGAAAAAGCAGCTTTGTTCTGTCTTCCTCTTCTCTGTCCCCCAGGTCTCAGCCCGAGCTGGCCCTCCCACTTCGCATCACAGTTCAAGTAAGGTTGGGATCCAGAATTCCACCCCGCGCTTTATTCCTTCTCGGCCTCGGCGTCCTCCAGGAGGGATCTGTCGGCAGCGACTACGCAGATGGCTACTGTCTCGCTCTTGAGGGAAAAGTCCATCCCGAGCGCCTCGACGTCGTCCTCCTTCTCCTCTATGCAGGGCATCTTCACGCCGTCCTGTACGCTCTCCTGCAGCTGGATCTCTTCTCTGCTCACCTGCTGGGTGTCATTCAACGCCCTGGAGAAACATGGATGGCAGTGACGGGTGAGTGTGTGTTGTTTCCTAGTTAAATGAAAAAAAGACTCACATCTTTAACAAAAGGCCTTGGGGTTTCCTTGGAACCAATGCCACGAAAGGATGACTTAAGTTGTGAGCGACTTATCCTTGCTACACGTTGTGCTTAGGACAAGTGTTCCTGGTACTTGGACCTTCAGAAATATCCATTATCATACTATGGTTTGATGAGATCATGCTTTGATGACGTCAGATTAATATAACGGTTTTATGTTCCCCGCCTCTACTGGGAACAGAGAGAGGTTGTAAGTGGTCAGAGCAAGTCTTGTCTTATGCTCAACCTCATCAGCGGAACCCAGAAGGTAGGAGGTTGGCTGAGTTTATTGAGACTAAAAAGAGCAACAGCCCCAGTAGCAAAAGAGTTAATGGACAGGCCCAGAAGCAAATCATAGAAATAAATGGAAAGCAAAAACCCGAAGACCGAACCCACACCTTGGGAAGCTTATAGTCTGAAATTTAGATGCTTCTGGTGTCAGGGGTATTTTCTGCTAAAAGGACCAACTCATAGGCTATCTGGAAGACTAAGGACAATTTTATATTCAAAGAGCTTACAGGTGTTTTACAGGTGTGCTCCCACCTACCTGGGAGGCAGGCAGAAGCTGGCTCTGTCCCCGAGGCAGAGCATGGAAGGCACCAAGAGGTGCGTGGGAATGTTCCAGGCCACTTGGGGAATGAGTCATCAGAGGCAGGAACAGAAGCCAGATCTTTTGACCTCGGTCCACGCTCTATCAGAGAACGCCACGCTAATGAGAGCTGAAGGGACACTGGCTGGAGAAAGCGCGACACTTGTACGCGAGGGCTTGAGTGGGATTTGCCATCGTATCGAAGGTGATTTTTTTTGGTTAGACTTGTGTCTGGGTGACCATTTAAAACACCAACAGAAAAGAGAGGAGAAACCTAGTTCCTGACATCTGCCTCTCCTCCCATGCCCAGATATGTGACACAGAGGGGGCTGGGTGCCGGCAGGGGGACCAGAAAACAATGAACCTGACCTCCCTACCGCCTCCCGCTGGGCAAAGGCGCCTGGGGAGGGCTCAACTTACATGCCGTGTCTCAGCACGTGCCTCTCCCACTCGGAGCCCTGGGAAAACGCCCGCCCGCAGAATTCACACGGAAAGCGCTTCTGAGCGTTCATGGCAGCCCCGCGGTCAGCAAACCTCATCAGATCTGTAAGGAGAGAGCCGGACAAGCGTTACCTGCGAGTGGCGGGAGGCGGCGGGAGAGGTAAGCCAGCGTTTAGGAGGAGACCTCCTTGCCTTCCTCCCCTCCCTTGTCACACCACTTGGGAGAGCAAGTTTCAAACCTCCTGTCCTTTCTCCCACCGGCTTTTCGCCTGACGGCACTCCTGGAACCGTCCCTGGCTCCCAGGCCCCACACGTGCCCATCCCCACCTCTCCAGCTGCTTCTGTCGCTAACAACCGGGGCCATTCCCACAGCATCTCAGCAGGTTTCCTATAAAATCTCCTCACCCCTGATGGTCTAGTAGTACTTCACTATTTAGCACTATTTTCTATGTGACACAAGTTTGCTCACTAAAAAGAACATAGGATCCCCCAAGCATAGCCCAGGTAACAGGCAGACGCGGGGTGGCGTTTTGATGCCTTCCAGTGGGAACGCCGTCCTGACTCCAACGGCGGTCACTGCCACACTGGCATAACCAACTCCTCACGGGGTCTAAGCACCGAATGCCTGAAGGTGCGTGCTGGACAACGGGAGGCCGGTGTGTGAAAAGGCGTGCCCCGCCCCCATTCCTCTGGACAGGTCTGTTGTAGACACCCAACGTGGACCGTCATTGTTTTTCTCTCCTCCGTGGTGCTGCACACATGGTAAGGGTCTGATAAGCGCGAGTTGGGCGGCTAATTGTTTATAGGCCACTCCTCCTGGCAACTTCCAAGACAGGAGCTTCTGTGGGATCTCGAGTCCCCAGCCCATGTGTCTTTCATGACCCTGCAGCAGGCCACATTCTCCCGGGCTAGCACCATAGGACGAGCACAGATCTGCAGCCACGCGGCAGAGGAGGGCAGGACTGACCACCTCCCCAGACCTGATCCCTCGGTGCCTGAGTGTACAAGACGTTACGGGGAGGCGGCTCCTGGCTGCAAGCTTCCAGCCCCTCACACTGTAGGACGGCGCTCACAGGGTAGGCCTTAATCTTCAGCTCACAAAGCCATGCGAGCGGGCCAGTGTGAACAAAAGCACGAAGCCTTTTCCTCACAAATTAAGAAGATCACCACACCAGCCATTAAAAATAATTGCACAGACTATCTCCCTTGATTCTTTTCACTGGAAATGAGACAGCACCATCTGCTCGGTGCATTAATTTCTTAGCAGGGATTATCTTGGGCAAGAAATCAACAGAATGCCTCCCTGACTCCTCCCAACTGCATAATGAGAGGGGGCGGGGAGGAGCCTGCCTCGGTTAATTTTGGTTTCTTCTCTTTCAGATTCCCTCCGAGCTTCCGAGGCGGCACCTGCAGGGTGGCCACGCCAGCCCTGGCTCCAGATCTGGTGCTGGAAGAGGCTGCCGGGAGTGGGGTCCCCACAAGGACAAGGGCCCCCTAAACGAGGGCCTGATGCAAGTCCGCCCTGCCAATGAGGGGAGAGCTCCAGGCACACGCGTGCCTTTACCCGGAGGAACACGAAACCACTCATCTATCCTTCCCAAGGCTCCTGTGGCTCGGCCTCAGAGGAGGCGGCCAGCCACTACCTGTCACCCAGCAAGCTGCTCTCCATCAGCCACGCTAGAGCCACCACCCTCTCTCCTCCTGGAAGACAGGCCGGCTGGCAGACACCCTCAGGCTATTGTGTGTCCTTTCTTCTCGCTGGCAGGAACCCACCTCCATGGTGAGAGTTGGATTAGAAGGAGATGAGACAAACTCGGGAGGGACGGGAAGTGAGGCTGATGATTTCCATGAACAGTTCTGGAAGCGGCTCCTGTAAATCTCCTACCCAGGGAGAGACAGACAAGCTTCTCCAGCCCGAGGCTCTTCCCACGTGGTGAAGGCTCATGAATGGGAGGCTGCCCTCCAGTGAGAGGCGGTCAGACGCAGTGAAGCTCTTTCTAGTCCAAACCGAGCAGGTCTGAAGCTCATGTGAGGGGGCGGCCACGCAGCACGAGCGGGAAACCTGCCTGTGCCCACACTTCCAGCTGCCACCTCTTCCCCCGTCTCTGCTTTTACGTGGAGGAGTCACTGGGGAGGCCTCACGAGGGCTCTTGTCTCTGGAACGCTTATCACCTCTAAGTTCACGTGTGCTCGCTTTAAAGACTCAGAAGTCACAGGACCTGGGGTGGGAGGGCAGGGCCTGGGGCCTTAGGAGGCGCAGGAGGCCCTCTGTCAGAGGACCCCTTTCCAGAGAACTCGGGGAGCAGTGCATCGATCCCATCACCAAGAACCTATCTATGGGATACTGAGAAAGAAAATGCAAAACCCAGCTTCTCGGATCACAGCCACTGTCCGTGCGAGAGACGGAGGAGTCTGGCCCCCTACTCACAGGCGCTGTGATGTCTGTCACAAGGGCAACCAACCTACCGGTGAGGATGCTTCCTTTGTGACTTATTTTCCAGGTTACTGTGGGCATGCTGGCACTCCCTCGCTCATCCTGTAAACAGCAGTCCCTGCTGCCGTCCTAGCCAAGAAGGGCTAAAGGGGGCTCCCACTTTGCAAACCTGGGGTCTCCTGCCACCGCGTCATGGTGGGGTGGGTGGGGATGGAGTGGGAGTGGGAGGAGGTCAGGAAAAAAACCCGGAAGAATCTCACAGGGAAATGGTCACCCAATACTCCCCCTCAGGCTTGCAGACTGACCAAGGAGGGGGAAAATAGCTATTTATGTAAAAGTGTACCTTAGAGTGAGACCCTAATGGCCACGGAATTGATAGAATTCAGGGTCAAGTTCCCTTCAGTGAACAGGCCACTGTCCACAGGGTTGGCAAACAGGACATCCTGTAAAAGGGATCTTGCCTTTGGAGCCAAAAGACAAAATTCCATCTCTAGTGTTTTGTTTTTTAAACTTTGCATGAGCGCTTAACTTTTCTGGGCCTTTATTTCCCCACTTGCCAAATGACAATACCACCTCCATGGCAGGGTTATCATCTACCAGGTGGCCACCATGTTTCAAGGACTGGTTTGTGTGTTGTCTCACTGGAGCTTTACACAGAACCCTAGGAGATAGGTGATATTATTATTATTATTGATGATGAATGTACAGGGAGATATCCAGCCATATAGCTACTAGCCCAGTGGTCGGCAAACTCATTAGTCAACAGAGCCAAATATCAACACTACAACTATTAAAAATTTTTTTGAGAGCCTAATCTTTTTAACTTAAACTTCTTCTAATGCCACTTGTTCAAAATATTGTAGACTTGCCCAGGCCGTGATATTTTGTGGAAGAGCCACACTCAAGAGCTGCAGTTTGTTAACCACGGTACTAGAAAAACGGAAGCCAAACCCTAGACAGGCCAACTGCAGATCCCTCTCCATGACATGAGCTTAAAGAAGCAAAGGCATCTAACACCGTCCACCCTCAGCACTGCGGGGACAACTACAGTCCATTACTCAGGCTGTGGTACCATGTGACTCTGATAAGTCTGCAGTCACTGAAGGTAACAGATTTCAATCTGTCTGCTCATACGCACGGTCTTGGGATTTCCACAATATTCCACGCTGATTGATGTAGAGAACAACTCTACATACATGCCTGTCTGTAATTACATATACTTTCAACAAACTTCATTTTGAAGATAATTATAGACTAAGAAGAAGTTGGAAAAATAGTACAAAAATTCCATGAGACCTTCCCCCGTTTCCCCTGTAAACACATGACTAAATGAAAACTACTGGTTTTGTCAAAACCAACAGCAAGGCTTAGGTTAAGGGAGGGCATGCTGAGGACTGGGGGGGTGGGGCTCAGGATTTGTCTTACAGCCTCCCCCACTCACAGCCTTAGCAGGGTGAGTCCTGCAGCAGCAATTTCAAATCAGCGTCCCATTGGGTGTTCACTGACATCCCCTGATAGCTCTAGTGCCATCCAACTTGCCATTGGCCAGTCCTTATACTAAGACCCCACAGACACCCCTTTTCCTTATTAAAAACAAATCACCACTCTGCATTGTTAATAAACAAATCAACCACAGCAAGAGAGAAAATGCCTGTTTCCCTCAGAGTTTCTACAGCTGGAAATAGTTTACAAGACACGGCCCCTGCCAGGTCTCTCGAGCCAGTCAGTTCTCCTGAACAAAGGGATCGCTCCTTCTGTTACTCCTACAGCACCCCCCTGCCTCCCCGTCTCCCCATGGACTTGCTGGCTGCCACTGGGGCCCGGAGGGCGGGCGAGACTCACCTCTGTCCTCGGCCTTGCCCACTTCCTCCTCCTTGTCGTCGTCCTCGCTGCTGGAGCTCTCCAGCTTGCCCTTCATCTGCTCCAGCTGGTCCAGGTTGACCCGTCCAACCAGCTCGAAGTTCCGGCTCACCTGCAAGAGGCCAAGCGCATGATGGGAGTGGGCCGCGGGCGGGTGGGGGGAGAGCTCTCTAGCACCTGTGCCCTGTCTGTTTTTGGAACCAAACGACACTGGTGCTAGGCGGTCCTCCTCTCCATGGAGACGCTGTTTCTGAGGTGGGTGCTCCCACATCCCACTGTTTTCAATGGGACTGTCAACACCAGGCCCTCCTTACGGCACTTAGAAAAGTGAGCTGTTGGCCAGAAAGCAAAAGTATCAAAGCCTGGGGAGTGGAAGGGGTGGCCAGCAAACAGTCTTTTGTTTCTTTGTCAATCCTCACCCGAGGATATTTTTTCCAGTGACTTTCAGACAGAATGCAAGGGAGGGAGGATGTTGGGGGGCAGGGGAAGGAACATCGAGGGGAAAGACACACATATTGATTAGTTGTCTCCAGCCCTGCCAGGGATCGTATCCACGCTCTCAACACTGAGCACCCGGCCAGGCCCGGGAAACCGTTTTTAGTTGAATTCAAAGCAGTGACCTTTGTAAGCCACCCAGTTTTTCTGGAGGCGAAGAGGCTCTAAGTATCCCGAGAACGAGAGGGGCAGCCTCTTCCCCCACGTCCCGCCACCTGCAGGACTGCAGGCTGCCCCGGCAAAAGTGACTGGATTCCTAACTCACATGCTGACCAGGAGCCCCAGGTTAGCACAGAACTCGGGGCAACACACAGCCATGGGCTACCCCTGTGGCAGGCGCTGGGCTCTCCCGCTGGAGGGAGGGATGGAGGCAGGGCCCACAGAGGAGACGCAGTCTGGGCCCTGGAGGCTCATAGTGCACTAGCAATTGGAGAGGGAAGACAGACATCATTCACTAGACTGCAAGGCAGATGTCCATAGCTGCTCCACAGAGAGAGAGAGAGTGAGGAGGACAAGGAGAGGACAGGAAAGATTTACAAGACAATCCCAAGATATTCCCTGGAACAGACTGGAACACAGATTCGCTGAGCACCACAGCTCCAGATGCCAGGCATATGGGATCACCACCATCAACTGTGACAAACACGACAGACACTCGCAGTATCAGGGCCAACGGGCAGTCAGTCCTCCGACAGGCTCGATATTGTCCCCACCACGCTCCGTAAGAGGGAGCATATCAGAGGAGGAAGAATACACTCGGGATAAAAGCTCTTTAGAAACCAGAGGAGCAACACATGGAATACGACGAGGACCCCAGGAAAGCAGTCACTTTGAAAACAACGAGACACGGGGCTGGAAGAGGGGTCTGCGTCTGTCTTAATGCTCAACACTCGGACAGCAAGTTGTTGTTCTGCTCATTAAAAAAGCTGTAAAAATTAACAGGCTAAAGCGAGGAGGAAGAGGAGGAGGAAGCTGTCTCAGAATCTCGATTTCTCATTCCACCCGTCTAATAAGCATTCACAGCAACAGTCTCAAAAGCACTTCTGCTTGTGGCACCTTCCTAAACTGGGGCTTATCCACCAGGCCTCACTCCCACAGACCGACGTGAAGTTTTACTAACTCGTTTTACAACATGAAGTGGGGCGGGGGGGGGGGGGGCGCCACAGGAGCAAGAGCGCTGAAGTCAGACCTAAATCCAAGTCCAGGGGTTGCCATACTCAGACTCCGGGCAAGTTACTCAACACAAATGTCCTCATTTATAAAAAGGGTGTATGTGTGTGTGTGTGTGTGTGTGTGTGTGTGTGTGTGTGTGTGTCAGCATGCTACCCCAAAACACAGCCATTCCCCCAAACATCATTTCCTGCCCCTTGCTGGGAATGTGGTCTTCTCCAATTTGGGCTTTTGGAAAAGGCTTATGATGAGCATTGTCAATGCATATTTATGAAGTTATGTTTAGCCACAAAGTCTGTATTTTAACCTAATAGCATTTATGACAAAATATCTGAATAGAAGTTTTCTAGGTTGCCAGTGTTCAAGGAAAAGGAGGCAAGGTTCCAACCTGCCTAACTTTGAACTATGTGTAAAAAAAACAAAACACCCCCCCCCCCCCCACACGCACATCTTTTAAAGGACTAGCACTTAAAAAGCACCCTTTTCTGGTCACCTTCTCCCACATCCCACCTGCAGCCGGGCCACCTGTGTGTGGAAGGGACACAAGGGGTGGCAAGACGCCAGGAAACAAAAATGATGAAACCAAGAATGGCCAGAAGGAAATCCCGCATCGTTTCATCCAGTGAGTCTTTATCGATCCGTTCCTTCATTGGACAAGGACTTCCTGAGGGTCTACTGTGTGTCAGGCCCTGCACCGGGCACCAGAGCGCTGCTTCCTGAGGGCTCCAGTGACAGACCTGCCGCCAAACCGAACGTTCCTTTTTTCTTCCCCACCTCCCTCTTTCCTTTCCCTTCACTGGGAAACTGTTAACATTTTGGATTCTGCACAATTTTGAAAGAGTGCAAGACCTTTTCCTGGTTTTGATTGAGTTGGGTTCTAACTCTACTGTAAGTCCCCCGGTCAGCCAGCCAATATTAATCTTACTGCCCAAGACTCCTCGCTGCATTTTGGAGCCCATCTCTCACCTGGATGAGTGCCATGTCCTCCCTCCGTCAGCCACTCTTACTCCTCTTGCATCTAATCTCCGGTGCCTTCTGAGTGATCTTTAAAAAATTTAAATCTGTTCATGTCAGCCTCCGCTTGCCCTGAGGAAAAAATCCTCATTTCTTACTGAGACTTGTGTGGTGGGCGATCACCGTGTCCTGGCCCGCCCTCTCCAGCTGTCTCCCCTTTGCTCCCTCGGCCCTGAACTCGCTGAGCTTCCTGGGATCTGCCAGACTCTTGGTCCTGTGTCCTCCCTGCTCCCACTCCCCACCTCCCGTCCCCTCCCTCCCGTGCACTTGCCATTTCCTGTTTGGCCTGCCTCCTCCACATGGTAACTTCTGTCTTCCAGCTTCGCTTCAGTGTCAGACTCCTCCGTGGTTAAATATCCTTGCTCTGCACTCTCACAGCACCCCGCCCTCGCCTTTGGTGATTCGCTCCGCTCAGTAATTAATTGTTTATGGCCTGCACACACTCCCCTCCACCTCCCACCCACGCTGCTCTGCATCCGACTCCCTGCGGGATCTCACCGGCCAGGCCTGGCGTGGCACACACATTCTCTGTATCGGCGGCATTCTTAATCGCCGTATAACGTTTCATTAGGGGATGTGTTATAGTTTACTGTTCCCATGCAAGTTTACCTTTGGCTTTTCACTATTAAAAATGCAGTAATAGACCTTATTGTATGCAATCCTCTCTTTCCTGCTTAGCTTTAACTTTATAGGCTGAACTTGCAGAGGTGAAATTACAGGGTCAAAATCAAAGAGTTTAGACTTTATTGAAATTCCAATATGTGTGTGAGTTGGTTTCTGGAAGAGCATACACGTCACTTCCAGACCTGGAGGCTGGAGGGTATCTGACCCCCTTTCTAACAGTGCAGAGGACAACTTAGGGAAATTCACCTTTTCCTCTGGAGATGAAGGTAACTTATTACCTGTTTTCTAAAAGGCCCACAACAGAGGGAGAAAAAAGAAGCGTGCGAGTTTAAGATTTAGGAGCCTTCTGAAGGCAAAAGCCACACATGGCTTTGAAGGGTGGAGTGTTCAAATACATTCTCACTCAGACTATAAAACTATACGCAGCCCTGGCCAGTGTGGCTCAGCTGGTTGGAGCATCGTCCCATACACCAAAGGGTGGTGGGTTCAATTCCCGGTCAGGGCAATACCCAGGCTGCGGGTTCAGTTCTGGTCGGGGCGTGTACTGGAGGCAACCAATTGATGTTTTCTCTCTCTCCCGCTCATCAGCGAAAGACCTATCCTCAGGTGAATGTTAAAACACAAAACAAAACTATACACAGATCCTTATATCCTGTGACAGTTATCTGTGAATGCCCAAACCCCAAAGTCTCCTGTGAAGCCACTGACCCACAGTCGTGGTGAAGTCTCCCATCCAATGGGCACATGGGATGAGGGGCATCGGCCAGCAGATGCTTTCCGAGGAAAGCTAAGCTCGCACTGACGACGCTGCCAACTGTCCCACACTCTCAACGAGTGTTCAAGCCTCACAACTACACTTGTCTCTGCTTGCTGGTCTTCAGCCACTGGGCCGACGGCTTAGGACTGCCCCTGGCATAGGAGAGGAATCCCATACTGAGGCTTACTCCTAAGGGAGAGGCACCTAAGATTTACACACGTTACCAAGGTGAGCATGAGTTTTCCTAGAGTGCTGGGTGGCAAACCCAGTCTCACAGGAAGAACTGATAAAACTGGTTAACAAAAAGCGCAACTGGACACCCTGTCTGCAGATGACTTAGCAGATGTGGAGTGGGGAAATCCATAGTTCCCTCCTACCGACACAACATTGGTACCTTCGGAAAGGGCCACCCAGCCAGGTGTTCGCGTCACCTAACACTCCATGTTCCCACTACGAAGGAAGGCCAAAGGGGACGTGACACCGGGGAGCACGGGAAAACCGCCTCTCTCGTCCGAAAGGCCTCCCATCACAAGCAGAGAACGCGGCGTGCGGCGCACATCGGCAAAGACTCTCGGACAGGCTGGCAGGTCTTCGGGGAGGCCCATGTGAGCGCGTGTCTTAGGCTGTCAGGACCCTCCAGTCCCCATCACAGCTACCCAACTGCTGTGCTAAACAAGGAAATCCAAATGACACGTCATTCCACGTGTCTCAAAATATTACTCTTGATTATCCCCCCCCCCCCCCCCCCCGCAGCCATTTAAAATGTCAAAACCCCTCTTAGCTGGCAGGCCACATAAAACCAGGTGGCGGCCGGATCTGGTCCAGGGGCCAGAGTGTGCCACTCTGATTACAACAGCAGGGGAGTTACCAGGCAACCCTCGGCACCACCTGGGATGTTGGAATGGGGAGGAGGGAGAGAAAGCAGTGGGAGGACCCTTCGGCAGGCAGTGTCTCCGCGGTTCCTTACAGGACGATGGCCAAAGGGGTCAGGTCAGAATCTTTAATTCTCAGGTAAGAGCATTCCCATCAGAGCGCTCCTCAAGCCTCTAGAA